GGTTTTTACAGTTGTCGAGGCTCCTATACATGAGACCATATAATAATAAAAAAAATCATCACCCTTTCAGTATATACTTTTTGTCCATTACAATGGACATCAAGTCAGAAAAGTTGTACATCCTGAACATTATACCAACATAAAATACAAAAAAACCATACATGATTGCTGTTGTGTAGGAGGTTTTTGTTGTGTAGATTGCACCTTGCTTATTTCTCATCACTCCACTTAATGTCCACATCTGAGATATTTCCATCTGCTATATGCTCAAGAACTTCAATATCTGAATATTCTGCATAGGAAATCGTTTCAGCAATGAATTAGTACATAGATGTAGTTTTTTTATATTAAAAAGTTCAATCAGCATTACTGGAGATTTAATTTCAGTGACAGATTTGGAACCCATTGTCCATCCTAATGAACAGACATATTTGAAAGAAATTCTGATTTAAAGCTTGCAATGTTACAAAAGATTTTAAACTTTAATTAGAAAGTGCAATCCCTCTTTTTAATCTATGAAATATTAGCAAACATATCAATAAATCTGAATAAAAACATTGCAAAGGTGGCTCATGTCTGTGTCTGGAGTGAAATGATGCCATGCTGCTTATCAGTGTAGTTGATTTTCTTCAAATTACAACATGCCGAGCCTTACCTCGATTTGATTGGATGACAATCGTCCACTCTCATGGACTGCAGGCTTTAAATTAGATGAAATGCTCAGGAACCACTAAATAGGGCTGACATGTGATATCCATTGTAATGGACACAGGGTCCGAAGGTCTGAAGGTTTTATTATTTAAATATATACTGTTTTATATATTAATTTACTGTAGTTACCTTTTTGTTTACATTTACTATTAAATATTATGATTTTTTTATTTATAATTTATTTATATTTAAAAATTTACATTTAATTATTATTTATTTATCAATGAAATAAAATCAGCAAATGTATTAATTGTGGATTTTTTAAATTACTTTTTGGTCATTGAAATATATATCATTTATTATTATAAATATATTTAGCATTTGAACCTTTTTTACTTTTAATTATTGCTAATTATTATAATTATATATTTTTAATTTTTATTTTACATATTTAAATAAATTTTGGATATTTTTTATATTACAAAAATATAAAAAATTTCTTTAATATTTTTTCATAATTTTTTAATTGTTATTACTTTATTATATTTAGTCTGTGTTTTCATGTAGTCATCTGAACTTGTTCACAAGGATCTCAAATAACTCTCTTATAAATAATAAATCTCAATTACGTAATGCATTATTGTCTTCATAAGTTCCCCTAACAATAGGTGAAGACCGTCTAGTAGATACTATGACATGATTAATGGCTGTAATCTGTAATTCCCTTCATTTATTTATTATTTTACCATATGGGGCTTTAAAAAAGCAAGTTGTATCATGCTTGAAGAAATCAGAAGGCCAGATGGAGATGTCTGCTGGATTGTTGTATCTCCAGACTGCTGACTCATATTAAACGTGTGAATGGCACTGAAGGGCGTTTCACATCTTCTCTGCCCTTGCTAGTAAAGAACAGAAGTGCAATTCTCAAGGTGCCTGAGCAGTACATGAAAGATCACGCACCCGCTGAGAGCAGATAAAACGAGAGTGGGAGTATGAATGCTAATGTTAACCAGTTGACAGGCATTCCTTTAGCTGTTTTTGCTAACTCAGACATGCTAGCAGGCTGTATTGGGGCTCAATAGATGCATGAGGTCACCTTTTGTAGCGTCTCTAGGCACTTTTATCTTCAATGATGTCACCTTTAGGGGTCGTCCTCAGTGACCCGTGATGTCAGCAGCTGATACTATCTGCTACAGTGCCTTCTGATCCTGCTGATGACCTCTGCCGGCTTGGTGAATATGGATTAGAACTTTGAATTAGAATGGAATGGAATGAGATTAAATGGAAAAGAATCCCTTTGATGCTTAATGGTTCCGTATTTAGTATTGATTCATTTCAAGCATAAGGTGATCTTTTGTTGTTTTGTGTAGGCTTGTATACCTTTTGGCTTGTAATAAATATTTGATTGTATGTAGTAATACAAAAATAGAGATGAGTTATAAGCTGTGTCTTGAATATTTATTTAGCCAACGGGGAACAGTGAATGTTAAGGTTCTGGAAAATGGTTTTGTACCTCTTTTTGTGGGAATTTAACCCCTTTGATGCTTAATGGTTTTGTTGGGTGTTCAATAGTTTTCCACAGTAGATAGTCTTTTGTGACTGAATAAGTACATATATTCATTTTTGGCATTTAGCATTTTAAATAAAATGGATGTAAATGTAAAATTATTTGATATGAGAAGACGTTTATTTTTATATTTGTTTATCTATTGAATATTATGAGGGATTTGGCATTTCATATGGATTTGTGAAGATGATTTTACCAGCAGGGAACAATGAAGGAGAAGGTGTTGGAATGTGACTTTGTGCCTTTGCGAAGCAGTGTTGATTGTTTTGTTTTTTTGTGAACCTTAAATTGGACCTTAGGTGTCTGGAGGTGATGATGAACTGGCGATTACTGTATGGAATACAACTATAAAGTAAAATGTAAAAAATTGGAACTGAATGGAATGAGATTACAAAAGAACTTCTTTAAATGCTTCTGTTAATAGTTAATTTTCAATAATAGAAGATTTTTTTTGTGATAGAATGAAGGTTTGGTTTTTGGCATTCACCTTTTTAACTATAACATATTCAGTAGGGCTGCACGATATTGGAAAAAAACTCAGAACTTGCAATATTTGTTTATTGTGAAATGACTATCAATTCACCAGACAATTTCACTTTGATTGGGGAGACCTTGTAGGGGATTGCAGCTCTATAAAATATACAAATTAAAGCACAGATAAAAACAGAACAGAATTATAAAAATGTAAATAAACATTACTTTAGGGTTTTCAGTATTGAGATACAGAAGTCTGATAATCAAATATAAAATAACACTATACTCATTGTATAAATAATGAAACAATTCATCAAGTTGCAAATTTTATAGGGGAGAGAATTGGTAAGATTATTCCACCAGCAGGGAACAGTGAATGAGAAGGGTCTGGAAGGTGATTTTGTGCCAGCAGCGTTCACCTCCCAACCTCAGGCTTCTGGAGAGGATGTAAACTAGTAAAAGAAATTGAAAGTAGCCATGAAAATTAATGTCATCATAATTGACATGTTACAGTAAACCTTTTAGGATCCAAACATTGACTGAAAATTCAATAATGTCTCCCCAGCTTTAATGTCTTGAAAAAGATGTAAAATTAAGAAGTAAATATATTGTAAGATGGACATGGAGTCATTCCAAAATTCTGTGTCCCCAGGCACACGTTGTACAGGGATGTGTTTAGGAGGGAGAAACTTCTGTTTGTGCAAAGTTGGCTCAGATCCTTTCCAAACCTGCTGAGTGAAATTAAAGCCCCGCAAATCGGATTATTGCTTCCCAAGAGAGCTGTCTCACCGCCAGTGGACAACTGCCTCAATGGTATACGGTTATCACCACACGTTTCTCTTTTTTTACTCTCACTGTGAGTCTGGAAACTAATTTGAGGACAATCAATAGTGTTCTATGTCTTTTCCTGTTTCTTTTGCATATTTACGGACCAATTGTCTTTCTATAAGCCACCAACATAAATCTAATTTATCAACCGCTGACACGTGTGGGTAAATACAGCAAGGTCGTAACCAATGTAATGTATAGTACCATGTACAACTATATAGTGAATAACCAGTATGGGTTTTCAATTGTATGTTTAGCTGTTAAATTTAATTCTTGTCATATCCACACATAGTGGTCATCTGAGTAGTTTATAACATCAATGCCAATATAAAGAGCAAAGTGGTTTAGTTTTATCTGTTTAAAAAAAGCTATTTCAATGCTTATTCCAAACTCTTTTGCAGGATCTAATATAAACATTGTATATGACTTGAAATGGATGCTTATGATAAGTGGAAGCTCTTGCAGTCATATTTATTTATTGAAGACACAAACCATTACAGCGATTTATGACCACACTGAAAGTTAATTTCGACTGGCAGGCAAATTACAACCAAAAGGTTGCAAAAACTGCTTTACATAGCAATACAGTCAAAGCTAATTAGAAGATATTTGATATATAATGTGCAGCGATGAGTGATGATGTTTTAGAGCAGTGATATTTACAGTCTACAAGAATTGCCCACACATACGATGGAGAAACCAGAACAAAACTCTTACTGAATACAAATGTTGTCAATTTAGATCAATTCTAGATTAGACACAGTGTTTTCAAAATAGTTAAAATCAATTTAATACAAATCTCTGAACACGCCACGGTAGTTTTTCATTCACAAAGCCAATCCCTATTTAATAAATACAGCATATTGGCTAAGAAATGAACCACATAAATCAATCAATTAATATATCGGTGTTATCTGAATGTGAGATGTATTCAGATTTAGCTGTTCAGTAGGTGGTCGTTACCACTTTATTTAATGCCTTGAGATAAATACCCAGTTAACACAGTCACAGCATCTTCTACGCATCATCTTTTATGAATATCCATTATTATTCATGAGCTAGAGTAGGTGTAGTCATGTGCACCGAGCTTTAGATAGAAAGAGAGAGAGAGAGAGAGAGAGAGAGAGAGAGAGAGAGGGAGGAACCGAGAGAGAAAGAGAGATGGGCGAGTGAGAAAAGGGGGGTGTGTCTCTGTGAAGAGGGGTTTAGTACAGCGTGCGTAGATGACTGCTAGTCAGCTAGTGTGGATGAGAGAGACACAGAGAGATCGAGGTGGTACGATGCACGCAAACATAGAGTCATTCATAAGGAATTGTGCTACACCGGGCAGGCAGTTCAGTGCGTGATTTTTACACAAAAGAAGATAGGGCGAGAGGTACCCACTGATGAGAGACGTTACTCAACATTTGAGGGAAATCCCCAGTGTGCCTACTCGTGTGCACTACTGCCAGAGATCTGTTGGGGGACCCGTGGTGGCGAGATGGGCTGTAACCTGTGCACGCTGCAGAAGAGAGAGGAGCACTACAAGCTGCTGTACGAGATCGCACAGGTGAGTTCACTTGCTTAACATACACTGGAATTTCCTCAAATTCTTATAGTCAAGTGTTTTGAGATCAGATGGGACCCTTTTGAGTCAAAACACCTTCTCTTGAGAGATCTTTTCTAAAAATAAGCTATTATTAGGTATACATACAGGAGCTCGAGAAAATGTTTGTTTTAAAAGTGTTTTAATGGCACTTAGAGGCTTTTGCATCTGAATTTTACATTTAGTGATGCGACTTACTAATTAGAAAATCACAAGTACACATACTTCTACATACTAGTACAGTATATGGGAAAATACCCTAGAAAACACTTGCACTGAAGAGTGGACAAATAGTGAAGTCACCTACATTTTTATGGTGCTTTATATTGTATCAAAACAGATAGATAAACAGACTAAAATGAAACAAGTTTACATACACCAGGCAGTACTAAAAAATGCAGTTTTTCTATTTGAAACTGTCATCACACTCCAACTGATCAAGTCAATGGTAAGAAACCAAGGAGAGGAAACCAAACTCCATCATTTGGCAGAAATTAAACCTTTTGTTAAACCAGGATCAGTAGAGGGACCAATTTGTCTATAGCCAGCCAAGTTAGTGGAAGGGAGTGAGGGGTTGGGAAATGGAAAGAACCACAAGCTTGGATTCAAAATCTGCTCACCTGCAAGCACAAAAAGTGAACTTATCATTGCCCATAAGGTTAACGGTTTCAAACTTACTGATTGAAAGGATTTTTGACCCAGCAGGTACCTTGATGCCAAATCCACATCGAAATGACATCAACCACGAGGTCATGAATGAATGAATTTTAAAATCATTGAAGTCATACTCACATTGATGCCCTTTGACCACCAAAATAATGATAAAAACATTATAATGTAGTTTAGCATATGACAAATTTGCACTGGATTTTGTATTGCTTCAATGTAAACTACCTTGCTGTCAAATGACATCAAATTAACATCTGACATTGGCATCAATAAAACACTTCCAAATCATCAATTACAGGACAGTCCATTGGCATTTCTGACATTTTTTTTTTTTTTGTCCTTTTAACATCAAGGTGCCCATTGCCAAGACATTCGGCTAGTGTTCAGTAGCTGTCCTGTCTTTCAATCTGCAAAGTAGTAGCTATAAATTCTTTACAGGAACTCTTTGTTTTGCTGTGAGAAATTCCCAACTGTATGTGGGACTTACCTGGAAGCATTTCTCTGCTATCAAAGGAAGTTATGCAGTGCACACATTTTACAACCATGTTCGTTATTTGGCACAACTGCTGTACAAATTGCTTACAGGTAGGAGGAGCAGGAGGCGGATTGCACACTGTAGTGAAACTTGTCTTTGCATTATAGTTGCAAGTGAGACTTGCAACAAGGGAGCAATCCTGGATAAGGTGCATGTTATTAAACAGGACTTCTTCAAATACATGCAAAAGCGTCATTTATTGTGATGCATTGTATTCATATACTTCATTTGGACTGTCTTCTGTAGCCACTAATGTTTAGTGTTGATACTAGTTTTGATCAACCGATTGCTCCGCTCCTCTCCAATTTAAGGGGTAACTAAAGTTTCAGTGCTCCCTCCTGGGCATGAAGCATGTAAAATAATAGTTTCATGTTGCTCTGATCGCCGCCTCATTAAGCTGTTATACAAAATGACTTTGAACCCTAATTAGATGGTAAAACGTGGCTTTTGCCTGTGTGTACGCCAATCTGAGAGGATTATCCCTGTTGGTGGCTAGACTGAGGTGATAGAAGTTTGATCCCTACTGGTTCAAAACAGCGGACTTGTGATTTTGCTCAGATAGCTCTCGCTGGGGTTTTTTCCCTCTCTTGCCTGTGATTGTGAGTTTTGTATAAGTGCTTACTCTTTTCTGGCATTAGAGAGTGAAGAGGGGCTGACTACGTTTTTGCGAGCAGCATGTTGCCTCTTTGACACCCCAGAGATTGTATTTGTGTGTGTGTGTGTATGGTAGAGTTCAGTTAGCTTTTGCTTGACATGAGATGGCTTTTCATATGTCACATGTTGGTCCCTTTGGTGTGTTAGCAGCGGAATTCAGCTGAAGAAAGACAGAACAGGGGGAGACGGGAATAATAATGTTATGTCTTCAGGAAGGATGAAGGTGCTACGGAAGGTTGAAAGAAATGGGAAATCTGGATCTGTTCTCCATGGAGTGAATTCCCAAGCTGAACCCGAAAGTGTGTCAAGGAAGCGCTGCCTCAGATGTTTCCGTCTCTGTTATTTGGCAATTTAAATTTTTCGAGCTTTTATGTTTGCCAGAGGAAATCAAAGGAAATGTTGCACCGTGTTGCTCTTAAAGTCACAACAACAAGCCGACATGAATAAACACAAACACGCCTACAATGCAATTTCACGCCCGTTGACAATTTTGACACTATTCTTGGCAGCACAACCCCTTTAGCCCTGGTGGTCTGTGAGATTTATGAGTTTAGTGTGAGTGTTCGCCCCTCTACGGGCTCACCATGGAAATGTATTCTTCTTTCTTTGTTAGCCACATTACAAAGACGTCCCGTACTCCCACTGTCTTATATTCTAATCAGAAGACTTGTCTGCGTGTTTATGTTTTGTCAGCAAGATCAGGATTTGGATTGTAATGTCTGAGCTGTTTTACCTTAGTTTGCCTGTCAGATGTGACTGGCATTTTTTTCTGCAGATGGCTGTTGTTTATTCATTATGATGTTATATGTGATGACATTTCAAGTCTTATTACAGATTACTTGATTTGAGGGTGATGTAAACACTCAATGATATCAGGTAACCTTTCAAAAAGACAGCTTTTGAGAAGCAAAGCATTGTTTTCTGCAGTATTGTGTAAAACTACAGAAATACCCATTCGATAGTGAGAAGTTATGGGAGTATAAAATGTGTGAATCCATGGATCTACCATGGATTTCTGTATGTATTTTTGAATGAAGGACATAGTCATTCAACTGTAGTTAAGCAACTATTAAAAATCAAAACAAGACTCAGAAAAAAATGGACTGAGATTTGGACTTAGTTACCCCTTAAAGCTAGAACTACCTCGGCAGTTATTTTGACCGTTTTTAAAGTTTGTAATTCAACAAATATAAAAATTAAAGGGTGACACTTTATTTTGATGGTTCGTTTGAGTATTAGTAGACTGTCTGCTTTATATCTGTTTATATGCTCCTTCAGCAGACATTTAACTTTGCAAGTACATGTCAACTTGCACTAACCCCAACCCCAACTCTAACTCCAACCTAACAGTCTAATTATAATCTAATAAGAATTAGTTGGCATGTATATGCAATTTAACTTAAATTCAACTAACGGACCATCAAAAAATGTGTGACCAAGTAAACCCATATAATGTTACGGTAATACCCTGACTTTTACTAATTGTATATTTATTTCTATCTCTGTTATTCTATTAAAATTACAAAACACAAAAGAGTATTTCTACCGAGAATTACCATAATGGTCAAATTGATCACATGCATTTCAGTGTTTGCTAGCAAAGTCCCTTTAAGGCAAGTCATTTCACTCTGCGGCCATCTTTGAATGGGGAAACATCAAATTTTTCAAAACAGTTTGCCTAAGCTTACGATTACATTACATATTTGGAACCACCAATGAAATTAAACAACAACTGTTTATTAAGTTTCATTTCTAAATGTTAGAATTAAATAAAATCAGCATTTTTTTTTTTTCAGGTTGCCCAAGCGAATGCACATGTGCATTCGAAAATAACGACATTATCATCCGCTGAAAAATGCTTCGTCAGATATCGCTGCTCTTCAGCAGTAATTCACAACTTGGTCTTGATGGCGTATCTCCTCCAGAAATAACAGCAAGTCTTTGTTTACAAGTTTGTGGGCATTTGAGTCATTGCTGTCATGTGATGTGCGATTGACAGGATAGACTGCACCCCACATTCATTTCATACAGACTAAAAAAACAGAAAACTTTTGTTTTTAAGTGTAGTTGGTTCATTTGTAGTTGGTTCACAGATTTTAAGCTTTATGTGGATATATTTCTTATCGTAAAAACATGACTGGTCCGAGCTGTTCATCTAAACATCTAAAGTGACCGATGATGTACAAGAAGGCGGGGCTTCATTTGCCACACTGACCATTACATTTTTCCCCATTCAAAAATATATAAGTGACATGGTTTGTGTACTCTAGAGTCTTTGTTGCTGGTTATTTTCTTGCCTTTGAATATGTGCCACCTCTGTTGCCTTGCAACTTCCTACAAGCACAAACACAACTTTCTGATAGTGAAACCTTTCCTTCAGACATCAAAACGACATATTCAGTGTGGTGCCAGACCAAGTGTGGTCCGCATCTTTATGGCTGGTCAAGTAACTCATAAACATTTATTATTTGTATTTTTAGAGTAATGAATTTAAAACTTAATTCTAATATCTCAATAGAAACTTTGTAACTATGATGTGAAAGGTAAATGAGGATGGTCAGATGACCATTATGGCCATTCTACTTTAGTGGTTGTACAGTTCTAGTTCCAGTTTTAAAGTTACATTCATTCATTTTCTTTTCAGCTTACTCCATTTATTAATTAGGGGTAACCACAGTGAAATGAACCGCCAACTTATCCAGCATATGTTTTACGCAATGGATGCCCTTCCAACTGCAACCCATCACTGGGAAACACCCATACATTCTCATTCACACACATCATTTTAGCTTACCCAATTCACCTACAGCGCATGTCTTTGGACTTGTGGGGGAAACCAGAGCACCACTGCGCCACCGCTCCACCATTAAAGTTACATATTAGTAGTAAAAAATTGACGTGTGTAACTGTAAATGCATTCATTTAACCAGTATCCACTAAAACTGTAGTAATTGCTGATCAGCGAATTTGTATTAGTATGAGAGGCTATTGCACTCAGTCAAGCTGAAATGCTGAGGCTCATGGGAGCAGTGCAGTTTATGGCCATGGTCAGGAGCCCGTATGGGGACAGATGCTCAGTGCAATTTCCAGTCTGTGAATCAGCATG